TCTGTAGGTAAATGCATTGTCATCTGTATTATTTAAAGAAAATAACTTTCAAAACCCCAAAGAATTTCACTTAGGCAGAACATTCTTTTTGGGGTACCCCAACAATACAATTTTGCTACATGGAGAAGTGTGTTCGCGATAGATATAGTGGGCTGAATCCTCTGGACAGATTATTGCCACCATCAGATTTATGAATGGTTCTTCCTGGCAGAAAATCTAGAAAATTCTTTTTTGGGGTACCTTAACAATACAATTTTGCTACATGGAGAAGTGTGTTCACGATAGATATAGTGAGCTGAATCCTCTGGACAGATATTGCAACCATCAGATTTATGAATGGTTCTTCCTGGCAGAAAATCTGCAGGAGATGAGCGGTAGAAAAGTTTAGTTCGAAATCCTTCGGAAAGAGAAAGGGAAAAAAAAAAAAAAAAGACGTGTGTGCACATGGGAGTCGGGGGTGGGTGGGCGAGAGACACCGAAATGCCAAAAAGAAGTTTTGGTTCCTTAAGCCCATCCTGCATAGCCTATTGCCGCTCGGGAGCCCGACCTGCAAGCGGCTCCTAATTGCGTTCCCAGTAATGCACTGAGCGCGGGGATCTGGGATAGGGAGGGCTGGCCGAGCAGTAGCACTGCAGCCCCCCTCCCCCGGGCAAGGCAGCGAGCGAACGAGCAAGCGAGTTGCTGCTGCTGCTGCTGCTGCTGCTGTGGAGCGGTGCAGAGCGGAGCAGAAGCTGGCTGGAGGCACGCTGGCAGGCACCCGGAGAAGCTGGAGCCCGAGGCTTGCTGCTGCTGCTGCTGCCGCTGTCGCTGGAAGCGTGGGGAGGGTGGGGGGGGGGAAGTGTGCACTATGCCTTTAACGCCTGGGTACAGTAGACATGTATAGTGTGTAGTGTAGGGAAACTCTAGGCGGGGTTAAAGTTCAGCCCATGGAGCTGATCAGCGCTGGCTGCAGTTTAGCAGAGTTGGAAATGTGAAAGCAAGAAGCAGGCTCGGTTCTTCCCCCTTTCTTTTTTTTCTTCTCTCTCTCTCTCTCTCTCTCTCTTTCTCTCTCCCTCTTTCTATTCCTTCCCCTCCCCTTCTCTCTCCTTCCCCCCCCCTCTCTCCCCCTCTCACTCACACACCTCCAAGCCACAAACCCCCCACAGCAATCATGTACTCTCCTCTCTGCCTTACCCAGGTAAGAAGCTCTTCGGATTGAATCGGGGGGAGGGGAATGGCGGAGGGGGGGGGTGCGGGAGGGTCGTCTGAGCGTTGCGGGGGGGGGCGCGTCGAGGGCGGGAGGGCGAGACCCAGCTTGCGGAAAGTAACTTTCTTTTCCGCGAGGTTACATTCTTGCTCTGGCTCGGCCATTTGTATAGACACATGGCTAATGGCGCCTTGTTATTAAGGTTTTATTTAATTAATATGGGAATGTGCGAGTTTTTTGTGTTTGGAGAAACCGGGTGTCTCTCGGCAATGGGGAGGGTTCGTACCGAAATGCGGTGTGGATGTCTGCGTTATGTGGGGTGTTTAGGACGATCTGCACGTGTTTACCAGCATTACATGCTTGGTCATCTGAAATCAATACTTACTGTTTGTGCTTCCGAAGCGGACGAACGTGGAACAAACGCAACCCAGATACAATTAGATGCTTTGTGTGTTGTTTTTAAAGTGTAGCATTAAGTAATTGAGCGCTGCGTGTATTCTTTTCCCCGCCTCCCGGACTGCTGGAGCTGCATTGCTTCCCCCCCCCCCCAAAGTCCTCGCACACTTTGGTGTTGGGTATACGTGTACTGTGTTCGGCAGCCTTGGGTTCAGCCTTTGCCCGTACGCGGCGTGCAACGTGTGCTCCAGTCCTCGTCGGAACCGGAGATCTGTAGAGATGCATTGCACCTAAGCCTCTAACTTTCCCTCCCGTACGTCGCAGCGCGCTTTGATGGAGAACTTAAGAGCTTTAAGGAATCCACATTGCGCACCGCTCTAGCTGCAGCGGCCGCAGTTCTGCAATCCGTTCCGTTATTCTCCTGCACGGCCCAGTTCGGGATCTTCGGAGTGTCCAGCAGCCTCCTGCCAGGCGGCTGAGCAGGGCTACCCATCGCCAGTCAGAGCTGCCCTCCTGGCTGCCTCTAACGCTTGTCACTTGCTCGGGTGTCATATTTGCCTGAGGTTGTTTCCTTTGGGAAGTTAGGTTTGTTGTAATGTCCTGCCCGGGGAAAGAAGGAGGCGGGGAAGGGAGTTGCTGTTTGGAGAAAGTTGCTGGGTTCCTTTTGTTTGCAGCTGAGCGAAGTTCTTCGTGGATTGCAAATCGTTCCAAGTGGGTCTCCAGCCCACTTCGCGCCTCCCCAGATCTCCTGATTGCGTTACTTTGAAATTTGAAGAGTTGTGCGGATGACGCCTAAATACTACCCAGGCAGATCTTTCTGGGAAGCTGCGAACTTTTAGGAGTTCGGCAACTTTTCTAACTCCCTGCATAACTCCCCCCCCCCCCACACCCCTTAGCGCTTTGCACCCCCCCCAAAGAAAACTCTTATGCAGCGCCAGATTTTTTTGGCAACATTCCCACACTACCCCCATCCGTGCTCTTTGTGAGATACGTTGCCACGGTTTAAAATCAGAAAAATAACTTGCATTTCTGCTTCTGCTGATGGTTTTAGCAAATTACATTGTTCGCCCCCTCTTTTTCTAACTGATAATCTTTGTTAGACCTTTGGTGTTTGCCCTTCTGAACAGTGAAACCGGAAAAGTTCCTAGGGAAATTGTGTAGTTTCTTCCATTGCCATTTCAGCACTTCTGTTCCCTATAGAAAAACAACAACACTTGCATACTTTAGTTACTAAATGGTGACAAAAAGGGTAGTTTGGAATTGAGCACTTTGAACACCTTTAAAACACCGGAAAGAGGGAAGAATGAACAATACACGTTTCAAATATTCTAATAGAAACTTAGGAATGAATAACTTGGAAAGAATTGTGCCCAGTGATTCACAAAAGCTGTCACCTAGAGCTAAAGAATAGATTTATTTATAAGAACATATCAAACCAAAAGTACTACACAATGCCATTAAACTCCATTGATTTACATTGATTATAGGTAGAAGATAACTGCTACTGCATTTTGAGGGTGAATTTTTCAAAGCCAACTTTTTCAGAAGTTTTATCTCTCACAGAAAACTCAAGTCAGATCTATTTTCTGTTTGTTTACTTTCTTAAAATAGCTAATATTTTTTTATTTAAACACAATAATCTGTTCTCGGTTGCCACCTCCCACAAGGGGGGTGACTCTATTTTATTAGGCCTTGCTACACATTTATAAGTTTTCAGATCTATTTTTTTTGTACCTTGGTCTTTAACCTAAGAGCTACTCTGTGGCATGTTGCTTTCCAGTCTCATAGTACATTTGGAAACGTTTAGTGATTCCGAGACATCTTTATAGAGAACCTGTTTAAAAAGTTGTGCACATGGCACCTGATTTCAAAATTAAGAAAGGCTTAGCTTAACATGTTATTTTCTTTAAATTTAAATAGTCATCCACAGTACTGGAAGATTAGAATATAATACCTGCTAAGGGGCTTTCTACATTTATCCTGTAATATAGGGGAAATTACCTGTTTGCTGTTTATTATATACTGTTTTGGCTTTATTTTAATATAAGCTATTATGTAGATAAGAGAAGATTATTATGTAGATTTATGGACAATGGAAATATTAATGCTGTGAAAGTGTATAAATCTGACAAAGTTTCAAATGGAGCAGACCAGTGAATTGTTTCTAAATATTGCTGTGTTATGTTTTTACTTAAATATGTATGCTTGACTTTTGTGTTGTATATTCCATATTCAAATATACGTTAACAAGATTTTTCTTAAATAATTCAAATGGATCTATAAATATGGCAAACTGTTATTTAGAACCCATAGCTGTGAACCATAAAAAGTATTATAAACTCACTTTTGTTATTTTCCTCTCCTGCCAATCTGAAAGATATAAATGGGATCATGTGATATATAAAAAAATCCTAAAACTCTTCATTTAATTTTCTAGCACTTTTATTTATAATTACAACTTTAAAAATAAAACCATACATAGCTATATTTTCTTTTTTGGGGTGGTAGTTGTTACTTTTAATTTTTAAATAATTTTGACCCACATCTAAATGTTCTTAAATTTTCTGGCTAACCTGGAAATCAATAATTCATCTTACATATACATAATAATATTGGTTATCTTAATTGTGAATATACATAATAATATTCCTTATTTTTTTTTAAGACAATGTATTATAGAGTAGACAGATCCTTGTTGAACAATTGATCTTTCATACACTGTTTGGCGGAAGCCAATCTGGATAGCATTACTTATATCAGCAGTGGGGAATCTCTTAATTATATCATTATAAGAAACTCATTTGGTGGATTTTGAATATTTTAGGTAGATTTTTAAGCTATTGTCTTCCTTTTTGAATCATATTTAGCATTGCTAGATTTCATAATATGGTAACATTATTTCAAAATGTGAGCCTCTAGGTATAGTTAATAAATGGTAAAAAAAGTTTATAAAATAAGGTCAAGATGCATTTAAGAAAGTACAAAGATTTGTAGTAATCTTTTATTTTAGAATGGGTAATTTTGTAGATGTTGGTATGGCATAGAAGGATAAGCATTCCCAATTTTTTTTTTTTTTTTGTATCATTGGCGATTATAAAATGTATGCACATGAGAAAGGCCTTAACATTTTCTATTCTGTGCATAATTGTTTTATCTTTAGTTGTAGCTCCTGTTAGTGAATAGCTTGGATTTGAGAGAAAATGTTTGAAAATATAGCTATTTATTTGTCAATATAATATTTTTTCTATTTTTTATGAGATTTATGTAAATTGCTACTTTGTTCCATGTAACCATGTATTAAACGGTATAAATATTAAGCCATTTTTCCTTCAAAATTTGGCAATACACTTAATCTAGTTTATATTATTTTGAAAAATATTTTCTATAGAAAATTAATACAATTCAATATTTTCATTATATTGGTAGAAAACTGGTAATTATTTTTAGAAGATAGCACCAAATCCAACTGGTAAAACTCTTTCGTATATTGTGCTCTATTATCCCTGATTGTTTGGTTCTGAAATTTCCTACATTTGATCAAGGAATTTTAGATACTCCTCTAGCATTTCATAACAATATCCTTTATAAGAATACCCATCAAATTATTTTAAGAATTGATTAGTTTTAATCAATTAGTTTTAATCAATTAAATTAAGAATTAAGAAATTTAGACGTCAATCTTATTCATTATTAGGGGAAGTAAGTCTCAATGAATTCACAAGAACATCCTTTTGAATAGGCATGTATATAGATTTGCACCGTAGACATTCAGTATCGAAGGACATATACTTCTAGCAACACGAGGAAGACCATGTTGTCTTCTAGTATGCCAACAGCGCTTCTTCCTCTTCTTACCAAGAAAGCCCAGATTCAGTAAGAGACATCCTAATATTTTAAAATAGTGCATTTTCTTGATCACATTTTTACATTTTTTTCTATACATGGTTTTATAACTAACTGCATATGTATCAATAATGGGCACCGATACTAATTTCAGGTGGTGTTTTATAGCAGTGAAGGATGCTTTATTTATTTAAATATTTACAATGCAATCTTTCTTACTGTATGGTAGACATTGGAGAAATGTTTAAAACCACTTTTTGGTTTTATAACAGGAAAAATTCATATAAAAGACACAAAAAGGTAGACAATGCTTTCATTAGCAACGATTGTCCACATAATATTTTTTTAAAAAATGCAGAAGCCTTTGTATACATGCATACATACAATGCATTTTAAGACGCACTAGCTTTTCAATTCTATTTCTCAATTTTTTTAAAAAATATTTGTGGCTTAGAGTATACAGTATTAAAGCCATAATATATTCTATGCCATTATTGTTTCCTAAATAAAGACCAGAAAGCTTTGTTGAATGTTTCCTGTTTTATTGTGTGTAGAAATTATTATTATTTTGTTAGTGCAAAATTCTTTTGATATATTTCACTTTATTTAGCATTTTATTGTGTTATGTTCACAGAATTAACCTTGAATTAAATATTTTTTATCATATATCAGATGATAATTGATTGAACATGTTCAGACTTTCAAAAGTTAAAATTTTGCCAATTTGGCAAGCATATAGCATATTGGTCACACTCACAAGAGGGTCATTGAAAAAGCAAAAGAATATACTACTTCCTTTTTAAAAAATGGATGAAAATTACAGTGGTCTTATTGCAGACTTGAAATAATTGATTTTGGAGTTACCTTGTTGACTTACATTGAACTATTGTAAAGTCAGCTGATTAAAGCTTAAGAGTCTCACCTTTCGGACCCAAAATAACATTTGCTGCAAAGTCAGTGCCATGAGTTGTATTGAATTTTCTTGTTTTAGCAAATGCGATTCACAGTGCTATGGCAAAATATTTTCAGCACTTAGTGTCTGGGACTGAGTAACAGCAGAAAGTTGATTGCATGATATATTTTAGAGATTTTATTGTTTTATCACGATGTAGAAACGTTTATGTCTGTACATAATGTAAGTGTTGCTCTGTTATTGGCCTAGTTATAAGCTACAGTCACCAGTTCAGAAAACAACAAACCCTTCACACCTCAGCTTTCCTTGTGGTAATTTTTTTTTTCACTTTGATTATTTTCAGGATGAATTTCATCCCTTCATTGAAGCACTTCTTCCCCATGTCCGAGCATTTGCGTATACATGGTTCAACTTACAAGCTCGAAAACGAAAATACTTTAAAAAACACGAAAAGCGCATGTCAAAGGAAGAAGAAAGAGCGGTGAAGGATGAATTGCTAAGCGAAAAACCTGAGGTTAAACAGAAATGGGCATCCAGACTTTTGGCAAAGCTTCGGAAAGACATCAGGCCTGAGTATCGGGAAGATTTTGTTCTAACTGTGACAGGAAAAAAACCTCCTTGTTGTGTTCTTTCCAATCCAGACCAGAAGGGCAAAATGAGAAGAATTGACTGTTTACGGCAGGCAGATAAGGTCTGGAGGCTGGACCTTGTTATGGTGATTTTATTTAAAGGTATTCCGCTTGAAAGTACTGATGGCGAACGCCTTGTAAAGTCCCCACAGTGCTCAAATCCAGGGCTGTGTGTACAGCCCCATCACATAGGGGTTTCTGTTAAGGAACTCGATTTATATTTGGCATACTTTGTGCACGCGGCAGGTAAGTGCCTATATTTAACATTGTTGAATACGTTTGTTGTGCAAGGATTTAACTGAATGGTTATTCCAGTGCGAGGCGTGCTTGCACCTGACCATGTAAGTTAATTAAACTGTTGCTTTGCACTGTGTCTCTGATGGTGGTCCGGATGTCCTCAGAAGCAGAGGGGCTATAGATTGTGTAAAACTGCAACATTGTTAAAAAAAAAAAGTGATTGTGGAAGAGTGGTGTCTTTCACTATAGGCCTAATGTGCAGTGTACTTAAAGCATCTTTATTAGAATGCCTTTCGAAAATGCTTGTCACTAGAATGTTGTGCAATTTTTAAGAATTATTTTTTCATTTGATGTAAATTTGGCCATGAAGAAAAGAAATGAAAACAATATTTATGATATAAGCCAAGTGTTTAATTGGTTAGCATACTTAAAAAGAAGTGTACAAAGATGGAGGCCTTACCAGCTGGTATATATAGCTATAGATTAAATAAATTTCTGCTTAATGAAGGAAGAAAAATTAAAAGACATTCTTAGTAATTGCTCTATATAAATAGAATATTATTGATTTTGAAGGACGGTTTATTAATTTAACAGTGCTGCATGTTGGAAAATAGATATATTCATTCTTTTTTTTTTCTTAATGCAAAACGATACATTTTTCTGTAGCCTGCTTTGAGAAAGTTTGTTATCTTACGACTTTTGGAGGCTAACATAAGCACCAGAGTGATATTTCTAAGCAACTCATTGTAATTTAGTTTTTCTAAGAGTTCAGTTTATTTCAGATGTGGAAAAGAAAAGACATAGGTTTTTCAATTTGTTAAATGCATACATCTGTGTTTGTATGCAGCCTTTTTAAATGTGAGGCATATTGTTAACTTTTAAGTGGTTTTGTACAAAAGTGAAGTTGCCTGTGTCTCTTAACAGCTTTATATGTATTAGTGTTACTGTGATAATTGGTATATGCAGTTAAATTTTTGGTTTTGTGCTACGGAATCACACAGAGTGGTGTGCTCTGAATATGAACTATTATGCACTTTTGACTAATGAAGCCTCTGAAAATATTGAGAAAGAGATGATTAAAAAAAAAAACAATACTGTAAGTCAATGACTTTTATTTGGGATCTCTGTTTTGTGTGTAATAATGACTGGGTTTTATTAAGTGCAAATGTTTATAATAGATTGTGGCCTCTGTGAGAGTTCATAGCTATATATAGTGTGCTGAGTGGAAAAATACATGAATTAAGAACAGATTTAAAAATACAAACGTTTAATAAATTTGGTGTTAAGGGCATATTGCAAACTCTTTTTGCACATTTGTTGATGTACAATGCAAATTTTAAATTGATTTTTAAAGGATCCATGATATTTCATCGAAAGTATTTGTTAAATGTTATTCCTTTCTCACTTTAGTTATTTAAAGTTGTTAATCACTAACATTGCAAAAAAGCTAAACAGCTATAAAAACTTTTCTAGAACTATAACCATGCAATAATATTATTAGAAAAAATAAAATGCACAAAGTGGAAAAAAAAACCCAATGAATACAAGTAGGCCAAATATAACCCCTTGCTGTCATTATAGATGTTAAAAGCATATTGTTATATTTTAATTACTATTCTTCTGCTTTGCTATCACTGAAGAGTACCAAATCTCATTTTGAATAACTTTTTCAATTATTTTGGAAACCAACTAAAGGTATCGAACCATATAATTTGTTTAAAACTTAATTCGTTTGAGTTCAGCAGTGTTTTTATATAAAATACAGGTGGTACTTGTAGTTTTATTTATAAATAAAAATAGATTTGTATTGCTTTTAAAGTGTGCATTATTATGGGTTTATTACATGTATGTATTATATCACATGTTTTATGCCATGTTTTGGAAAATATTTCAGTAATCACCTGTAAAGAATGAAAGGCATTCCTATTATCTTTATATGCAATATATCACTGGCAGCATTCATTATTTGTGAACGAGGAAGAAAGATTGTATTTGACATCTGCTTTATTCTTACATTTCCCAGAATCCTTTGTCACCCCAGAGTACCAGTGAGGTTCTCGCTAACTGCCCGTGGATAGCTGTAGTAATGAAACCAGCCTTTATTTAATTATTTTTTATTTATTTAATTTATTAAATTTGTAGAGCCACCCAACTCACATGTATGTGACAGTTTACAGTTTACATCAGATGCGAACACTAACACAAGTGTTAGACATCCATTGTTGTCAGATGTTTCCAAAAGGTGATAACCTCTTAATTATAGTAAGAAATTTGCCAGTATAAAATGAAGAAATAACACAAAAATCAGCTTACGTGCAGTGATAATTGAAGAGCAATTCAGAAATCCTCAACATTTTTATGTGATAAAACTTTGTCAGAAGTTATCAGAAATGGACAGAAATTCACATTGTGTAAGATTTTTCTCACATGTGTACTAAAACTGTTGCAATATCTTCACTTCATATATTATTACTATTACTTTATACTCTTCTGAGGTAATTTAATGCTCAACCCATACTAGACAAGCTGTCCTTTTCTTTTTAAAAGTTCACTTACCACTGTTGATTTAAAATCTCTGTTTTTCTTCATTTTTCTTTTTTTAGTCTAGTTTAGTCTTAACTTTTAAAATTATTTAGCCACCTTGTCCTATTCCAAGTAGGCTAAATCACAAGAAATATTGGTCCTATGTAGTAACAAGTAAATGCAATTTTCTAACTAAAAAATATTTTCCTTATATTAAAAAAACCTGAGTAATAAATCATTTGCTAGGAGGTCTCAAGATGTTGCTCTGATTTTACAGTACTGAAGGGGGAAAAAAAGCTGATTCTTGTAAACCTTCATTAAAAAAAAGGGATCTATATCTATATCTGTATTCTTTTAATTCTGCTTCAAATGACAAGTTGGAAATGACTGTGGCAAACGCTTTGTGGGAGTATAAGTCTCCAGGAAATTTATGACCAGTCTTTTACCAGATGATCTGTATCAGAATCTCCCATATACTAGGCACGTGGCAAGGTCACCATTTAAGTTGTTGGGGTCACAACCTTCGCCACCAGGCATTTGACCTTTGTGATAAAGTTAACCTTTGTTCATTAGGAGGCACTCAAGCAAGAACTTCCTTGTTTTTTACTGCGGCAGCTAACATGATCACATTGTTAAAAGTGATTCTTAGCTCAAGTATTGGGTTCAGTGAAAAAGTTTAAAGATTTTCTGTGTGGATTTCTTTTCTCCTTTTTTTTTTCTTTTTAGCCTTTTTCCTGCAGGCAAAGCTGTGTCCTGTTGGCCACACAATAGTCCACGGCTTTGTCTATTGTTTGTTTTGGATATGACTTTTAATAGCACAAGCCTATTCATTTTTACTCTGAAGTAAACTCCATAGCCTTATTCCATAGTGAGTTTATTTATTAAAGAATGCAATCTGTATTTAAAAAAAATAGTTAAAAAACTTCAGGAGGAATTTTTCAAAATGATAAACTGTATATTGAAAAAGTTAGGCCTTTTACATTTGAATTAGGTTGTTTTATATAGATTTTAATGCTATTAAGTACTGAATCAAAACTAGCTTCGAAGCCAATTTAATTTTGATAATGGTGAAAAGGTATTTTGTTCTAGAAATAAATCAGTGTCTAGTAGAGATGGGATCATGTCTTTAATCTGAAATAAGCTGATATGTATTCAATAATAAAATATATTGGATACTATTATAAGACTTGGGCTTTGTAATTTTATAATGTACTCCTCTGATATATAAATTATACTCATTGTACTCATCCTGATCTTAGATCATTTTGTATTTTGCAGCATTTCTGCAGGTATACTTGTATAGGAAGTTGCAAATAAAATAATTACAAGTCTTTGTAGTCCATGATACTTTCCAGGAAAAAAAATATATATTATTTTATCGCATTATTTCTACATCAGTGTAGGACTGAGAATTTTTCTTAATTATTTAGCTTTTTAAATAATAATTTCTTTTTCTTGTTCAATATGTTATTATTTACTATAAATAAAACAAAAGTCTGCTTATATCAGGTTGCATTTTCCTAGGGTTTCTAGTTATTATTGCTATTCTTTCAAATGATAGTACAGTTATTCATGATTTGCTGATGAACCAGATGGCCAAGGTAATGGACTGAGAACCTGCTCTATACTAATAAAAAGCAGATATAAGATCACAGAGGTTTCTAGTTTCTCCTGAAATGGATTGGAAATTTCTTTCAGAATTGTAAGTGACTCATAGTAAAGATAATTAATTTCATTTTAAATTTAAGCATTACATTTAAGCATTAAATAACATTAAATATGCTTTATTCACAATATCTGAACCAGATGCCATAATGGATTTAGATTCAAGTAATTTTGATCGTCTGTATTAGAACTTAAATTATTTGGGTATCCAACACTGTTTGGATTCGTGTGTGTACACTAAATGAATAAATCACGAGGGATCATGATTTTAAATATGACAGTCAGAAACATTTTGAATAAGTTCTAGGCAAGCAAATCTCAATGATATTCTGATGAGCAGGTGAGCAGAGGTGCTTGTATCTTCTGCACAGTTGGAAAACAATTGTAAATCAAAGTTGTATGTGCAGAATGTTTTGGTTCCTGCAGAAAACCTACCTGCCCTTGTGATAGGGCAGTGGTTCTCAACCTTTTTAATGCCGCGACCCCCAACCGGTCATAACTCGAAGACTACTCAACTGGTCGTAAGTCGAGGACTACTCAACTGGTGCAGCACCGTTTGCAGAATGGGACTTTTGGCGGGCTCAGCAGGGCAGAGACAGCTTGGACAATTCCTATTGGCTTTTGAAAGCCAATAGAATTAGACTCTATTCAAGAGAGTCTATTCTATTGGCTTTCAAAAGCCAATAGAATAAAAGGGAGTAGCACAGCTAAGGAAAAGGGGAAAAAATGGCAGACTGCGTTGTTTGGCGACCCCTGTGAAATGGTTGTTCGACCCCAAATGGGGTCCCGACCCACAGGTTGAGAACCACTGTGATAGGGAT